TCAACTCCGGTGGAATTACCTTGGCAACCAAATAATTGACAAAATCCGCATACCAAGGGACATCGAAACTAACCTCTAATGCTAAAATTTGTTCCTCTCGCAGCGAATCATTGATAGGCATCTCATTGGGTATTTCTAGTCTTGACAAATGATCGGCCACTGTATTCTCCGTCCCCTTGCGATCTCGAATTTCCAAATCAAACTCTTGTAGAAGCAATATCCATCTAATCAATCGTGGCTTGGCATCTTTCTTTGTGAGTAGATATCGCAAGGTTGCGTGATCTGTATAAACAATGACCTTAGAACCCACCAAGTATGATCTAAATTTCTCGAAGGCGAACACTACAGCAAGGAGCTCTTTCTCCGTGGTGGAGTAGTTCATTTGGGCGTCGTCGAGCGTTCGACTTGCGTAGTATACGGCGTAATACTTCCCATCTTTCTTTTGTCCCAATATGGCCCCGACCGCGAAGTCGCTAGCATCGCACATTAACTCAAAAGGAACACTCCAATCCGGGGGTTGAATGATCGGAGGTGATACTAGTGCCTTCTTTAATATACCAAATGCCTTGTGGCACTCCCCATTAAACTCAAATGGGATGTCCTTGCCCAAAAGCACAATCAAGGGTCTCGCTATCTTCGAAAAATCTTTGATGAATCTCCTGTAAAATCCGGCGTGACCCAAGAAACTTCGGATTCCTTTAACGTTAGTCGGTGGTGGTAGCTTCTCAATCACTTCCACTTTCGCTCTATCCACTTTTATCCCCTTATCCGAAATCCTATGACCAAGCACGATGCCCTTTTGCACCATGAAGTGGCATTTTTCCCAATTTAAGACCAAGTTAGCCTTGCTGCACCTGTCTAACACTCGATGAAGATTGGTTAGACACACATCAAAGGAGGGTCCATGAACCGAAAAATCGTCCATGAACACCTCCATTATATCTTCAATCACATCAGAAAAAATAGCCATCATACATCTTTGAAACGTGGCCGGTGCATTGCATAATCCGAATGACATGCGTCTATATGCAAATGTACCATAGGGGCACGTGAATATTGTCTTTTCTTGATCGTTAGGATGAATTGGAATTTGGAAAAATCCAGAATAGCCATCGAGAAAGCAAAAATATGAATGCAATGCGAGTCTTTCTAACATTTGATCAATGAATGGTAAAGGAAAGTGGTCTTTGCGGGTGTTTGTGTTTAGCTTGCGATAGTCAATGCACATTCTCCATCCCGTAATTGTCCTTGTTGGTATGAGTTCATTGTTCTCATTAGGAGGAGATGGGAAGAAATCGAGGAGATTAGACGGGCGTTAGATGATCGGGAAGGAGGAAAAGAAGTTTATGCAGTATTTCATGCGGCTCACCCAGATTTACGGGCGGCCCGCCCGAAATTTCTGAGAAAATTTGATGAAAAAATTGGAAAAACGGGCGACCGCCAGGGAAATCAGGCGGCCCGCCCGGAAATTCTGAGCAAATTTTAAGTGGGATCTGAGGAAACGAGCGACCGCTCGAATGGCCAGGCGGCCCGCCCGAAAAGTCTGAGCAAAATCGACTCAGTTTCGGACAAAACGAGCGACCGCTCGACATATTGGGCGGCCCGCCCACTTCTACCTGAGAATGAAGAATTGCAATTCGAAGCCCTCTTCGCGACCACTCGATCCATACCTGACGCGCCCCAAGTCCCGAAAGGAGACACAAGCATCGATTGGGATCCCAACCATGCTCCACAAGTTGAATTGAAACCCCTACTTCAAGTTAAGGTATGTTTTCCTCGGATCAAATTCTACTTATCCCATTATCGTTAACGATGCATTAGATGAGTGATGAGGACATCGAAAGCAAGGAGCACGAGGAGGAGCACAAAGAGGAGCACACGGAGCTTGTGGAACATGCGGAGCTTGCGGAGCATATGGAGCTTGCGGATAGCATGAGAGAACACTCGACCAATTCTACAATTGATGGAGAACCAAAAGCAAGAACGTCTCAAGTGCCTTCTTCACGAATCGAACCACCTCTTACTCGAACCAACGTATCAATACGTTCGTTTCTCGCACATTGGACGAACTCCGAGCCAACGATCCGAACGACATCTCTCTTGGATCATTGAAGACGTGCAACTTAGCTATCTTGGGAACCCTAGACGTGGATTATGCTTGAAGAAAGACAAAGGAAGCTACTTAGAACACAAGGCATTGGACAACACATGTTTTGGGACAAACAATGCATTTATTGTGCTTTTCATGCATGAGTTGATCATTAATTACGAAACTAGCTGTTGTAACATCTTTATTCCTTTATATTCTGCTTTGTAAGAGATGGAAGAACACTTTTGATCAGATCTATTCGAAATCTATTTGGAGAATTATTCTCTTTTTGTCTTGGTTTGTCCGAGCGCACTTTTCTCTTCGGTTTGTCCGAATGCATCACTCTTGGTTCGTCCATTTCACCACTTTAGGATTGAGTTCGAGTGCCATTCTAGGCCTGTGATTGATCCTAAAGCCATCCATTCAAACCATCCAAACTATCCTTCGTTTCCTTCATCGAGTTCGAGTGCACTTGTGCGGGTGATCGGTGTTGGAACGTGCTGTCAAATTCCGCTGCTTGCTGGAACGTGAGAGGCTTACATCATTTTGGTATCAGAGCTTTAACGCTCCAACGGCGATCTAAACCCGGTGAGATCTCTCCATGTTTATGTTTTGTTGATTTCATTTCATTTCTATAAACCGAAAATCGTATTTCACCAAAAACAGTTTTGTATTACCGATTCTACGTAGTTGATCACTTCTCGTTTGTTTGACAGCGAAATCGTGGAGCAATCAGCCCCTTAAAAATGGTCGGCCTAGTATGATCGGTACCTTGGAATCTTCATTCATGTCTAAAACCACAAAATCTACCGGTACATAGAACCCACCAATCTTCAAAGGTACATCCTCTAATATTCCTGTTGGGTACTTGACTGATCGATCTGCTAACTGCAGTGCCATTCTTGTGGGTTTTAGCTCACCAATATTCAACTTCTTGTAGATTGACACTTGCTCCAAGATCGCATAGGGCTCGATCTATCTCAATATTTTCCAACTTGCATGGTATAGAGAAACTCCCCGGATCAGACATCTTAGGGGGAAGCTCATGCTTCGTGATTGCGGCACTAATCTCGGTACTAAGAGCTACTGTTTCTTTCTCCACAACCCTTTTCTTCGTCAAAATATCTTTCAAAAACTTTGCATAGGAGGGCATTTGGAGAATTGCCTCGTGGAAGGGCATTGTGAT